GTGTCACCGAGGCTGAGCGCCGCGTGAGCCTTCCCCCCAGCCTCCCCCCAAAACCGGAACCGCGCGCCTCCGCTCCCAGGGTTTCCTCCCCGATCCTCTCCCCCCAGGTGTCTGGCCCCTTAACCCTTCTGGACTCTCAAGATGTGCAATGTAATCCTTCTTCTTTTCCCCTTCAAAAACCTCTCTTGCCTCAGCCTCTTTGGCTGAGCTCATCGTTCACTGCGGTATGCGCATTCCTGTAGCAAGGCTAGTCTATGGCCTAACAAACGCCAGGATGTTAAAGAATCTCTCCCTCTGACTGCTGCTTAGAGCACGTTTTTACACCTTTCTCAGAGGTGCGAGATTGGAGGTATGAGCCCAAGCACGGCCGCCCGTGTCAGACGAGCTGAGTTGGGCAGGGCTGGAGGGAAGAGTCCCTATGGGATAGGGACCCCGGCCTCCGCACAGACGCCTCCTGGCGGAAGCACAAGCTGCTGCGCCAGAAGCTCCAGCAGATCATCAGCCTCGGGTCCAGCAGCAGCTGAAGGTGGGGGGGTGGGCGAGGAGGGGGCGTGCTGGCACCATCACCTGCCTGTAGGGTGTCCCCGAAGAGGCACCAGGGACTACCACCGGGCCACCACACACAGACCGCCGGCACTGATACCTGGTGCCTTGCTTTGGGCACTGCGGTGGGAGGGGCGACAGGACCAAGTCCCCGCCCCAGCAACACACTATCCTAGCCTTCCTGCCTCTGGGCTGTGAATGCTCCTGTCCTCCCTGCTATTTATACCCACGCGCTGTTGAACTTACTAACTCCACCTCTGCCTCCATCCGAAAATGTGTGTCTCCTAGGGGAAGGTGCCACCGGCCTCAGAGGACTAAAGCTAGAAAACAAGGAGGGCTGTCGCCGAACGAAGCTCAGGCATGGAACCACTGCTCGGATACAATGATTTGTTTTCCACCAACATTTAATCATGTCTCCCATCCACCAACAAGGAAGCACAAGTGGTCCCCAAGCATCCAGTGAGTAAACAGCCAAGGCAGAGAAAATGAGGGTCTAAGGTGAACATGGCAATAAATCCAGGAACTCCGGGCCTGGAGAGGGATGCACGGGCTGGCAAGGGGCGTACTGGTTTTAGATCATTTTTCCTACTCAGAGGTCCCGGGATCTGAGGGTCCCAGGGTTTGTATGATCTGGAAGATGAGGGTAAAGTCCTCCAGGAAGGAGGTTACTACTGTGTGGAGGCGGCCACGGTCTTGGGCAACCCATCTCCTGAAAGGGAGAGAAAAGGAAAGTCCAGTCAATAGTCAGGACTGTGACCTAGTAAGACTCCCCGCACTCTGTCTAGCCCTATAACTCACGCACAGCCTTGAGGCCCTTAAAATGCTCCTCTCTGCAGTTGTGACCACACCCCCAGGACCCAGCCCTCCTAGGACTGACACATTCAACAAACTGCCATTCACAGAGAGCGCCCTCTCCACATCCGGGTATTGCTGAAAAGCAGCGAAGGCTCTTTGGGCGACCTCCGCCTCTACAGGAGATGGGAAAAGCACGTTGAAGCTCCTAATGGAGCGACGGGTTAAGGCACAACCCTCTACCTCTA